GAACCTGTCCCCATGAGTCAGTGCCGAATAAGTAAATAAATAAATTTATTCTCATAGTACAGTACATGAGGGACGCCAGTTTACAGGTATCATCAAATTGTTACAGAAATAGAACAATATAATTCAACCACAATTTACAGGCAGTAGAAAGATATGCCTTATATGTCCGCTGGAGAATATACATACACTTGATAAATGTTAATCCCAGTAGTATAAAACAGCCTTTTCACTTATATACAATCATTTCTGTGCACAGTTGGAAAAATCTGCTAGATTGTCAGTGAGTGCAACACATCAGGAAATACAGAAGTGTTGTCTTCGCATTGACAAAAAAACCAGGTCTTTAGTGGATGGATTATAAGCGCCTGGGAAAAAATAAAGCTTGAAGTCAATTTTCATACATAACTTCGTTGTGTGCAGAATCATTGATGTGTTATTTTGAAATCAGTGATATGTTTATCTCATTTGATCTGCAATGTCATTGTTGGGAGTAAATACATAAGCTTCAGACGCATTAATTAATGGATTTCTACTGCTTGTGGGTATTTTCTTAGTGTGAGGAAGGTTTATGAATTTCAGCTGTTCCGACAGGAGTTGAGAATATTAACTGCTCAGCAACATTATGGATATAAGTTCATCACATTATCTAAGGAAAGGTGGGTTGTAGTTGGTGAGATATTTATGTTGCCCAACGAGCGTACATCTGTCCATGTGATGTTGTGGTGAGTTATACCTTTTTCATGTTGTCGGTTTATGTCCATTTTACTCCACTTATTGTGTTGGGTAGTAGTTTTACAAACTTATTGTCTGTTTGAGGATACGTATCTTAACCGTTAATGTTTTATCTAGAATCATAAATATAGGCAAAAAACAACAGGTTTAGTATTTAAGCTTATACATTAAATGGACCTATAATTTCGGAGGCTCTCAGATAGGAACCAGAACTACCGTCGTTTGCAAACTCTTGTAGTTTATCATTAAGCACCTTTTTGAAGCAGGCCAATGTACTTGCTTGACGCATTTCCATTGGCAGTTTATTCCATATCTGTGCATACCTAATCAAGTAAAACTTTTGCCTGGTGGCTGTTTTACATTGTTCGATAGCTACTGTACTCTTGGTGTGTCTTAGTTTGTAGCCACTGTCATCTGAAAGTCGAGTGCCATTAGTAGAGGTAAAAACTAAGCGGTTTAGAAGCTTATAGTAAAGTGTTAAGTTTAGTCCCAGGCGTCTTAGCCATAGTGTTTCTAGTCCTAGGGTCTCACATCTAGTGGAGTAGTTCGCACCATTTTATATATTCCAGGCTAGGACACGTGGTTGCGAGAATACCCTACGGTTAATGGTGCACTCAAATGTGTAGCATAACTAATCACGCTCAATTCCAAACTAGACAAAAATCTATTCTTCGCTAAACGTAAATCTATTTGGGAAGGTGACTTCCTTTATTGTTATTCCGTTGTAAGTAGAAATAAGCGTCACATTGTTGCAAGACTCCTATGAAATTCAGTAGATGTATCAATTCCCCAAACAATTACGCTCAGATTGCGGATCAGGCTGGTTCGGAAACGAAGCATTGTACATACTGAAAATCTTTTGTACCGTATAAATAGATTTGGCGCAGGAGTCTTCATCAGCACACTCCCATTCCAATCTGTAATCTGTGGTCCTTTTCAGCAGGCTCCGTGATTGCAAAATAAGCTTCCATCTCATTTACAGTGATTTTCATGTTACCCTTACAATGTCGCTCATTTGCTTCCAATCGGTTCTCAACTCTAGGGAATAGTCAATAACGCCACTGGATAGTCTTCTCAACGTGTCTCTATTTCATCTAGCTTCGTTCAGCAGGGGATTAAAGCAATTCGCCAAATCAATTGAACCACCGCCATTCTGCTACCAAAGATCGATATTTTATCCGTGTGCAATGAAACACACGGTGGGTATTGTATTTTCAAGAGGTAAGAATGAGGTGGCTGTGTCGTTGTCATTGTGCGTCTCTACACTCTTCATTGCTAATATATACAGCTTTGAGCAGCTGTAAGCCTTCTATTCCCCTTTTGCAAGTTGGAGCGGCCTTAAGAAAAACTCAGTCACCAGGTTAGATGAGGTGGACTAAACGGTCATTGGGTGGTAAGGACAAATCGCAGGTCTAGAAGGATAGATAGCCATACAACAACCATGAGTGCAATTTTTAGTCGAAGCCAACCGAAAGCGAGCTTAAAGTCGTTCAAGCAGCTTAATCAACTGGCTTATATTTAAGAAGCCTATTGCGTGACAAGAGACATCCAGTGACGCTGTTAGGACGAACAACCTATCGTTGCTAGTCGAGAAGCCGTAATTGGTGCATGCAGTGACATGAAGACTTGATTGGTTTATTTTGAAGGATTTTCAAGATCACACAAACAATCAGATATCAAATATTTATTTATAGCTTGAATTATCCTATGGGTTTGTGGACTGTATATACGCCGTATTTTTGACGGGTGAAAAGGTTTGTCACTATTGTCACTGTTGTCATGGTTGAATTTGACTTTTATGTCTATCTGAATGTTTCCAGTGGTCAATTGAGCATGTTGTCGTGCCTGCGGGCGTTCTCAGGCGAAGTTACTTGATAATCACAAACCAGTAACAATTCATCACAACATATTGGCGGAGCGGTTATAGGACGCCCGATGAGGTGGTTACTGCATTTAGTGGCATAATAAGATCTTGGGTATCAGTGCCGACCTTCTATGATACTTTTGGCCTGCAAAATCACTTTTTTCATTCCTTTGCATGTAGAATGAGACATAGATCTTCAAGCTTTGAGGGCGGTCGAGAATATTTTTAGTTTTTAGGTCGCTCATCTCGCGTTCAGCCTTCCTTCTATAGCAGCTACTGGTTAGGTGAGGTTCAGAAGTGTGTTTGCAGGCAGCTGAATCCAGACGTTTGTGGATAGTAGGTATTCCACTCTTGAAGCGCTGACGCTGACCACCGTAAAGGTAGAATGCTTCACTTGGTTCGTGGTTCGATCCTCGGCCGACGCACTCTTTTAGCACGCTAAGCCAATAATAAGACTGGTAAAAAGGGAAGGTTGTGTATGCGGCTAGCAACCCCATCCCGTAAAAATAAACACCACTGCTACCGCAACTTCAGAGCTCTAGCTTGATGTCCTATGTTCCACTGGGAACGTAAAGGGATAAATAAATATATGTATAGAAATAAAGGCAACATATTGGGTAAACAGTGATAGGTTTTTAAAATTTTAAGTGCGAACAACAAATTTAGAAGTTGCGAATTGTGATAGAGAACGTTTTCGGTATGGCAATGTATATATACCACTAATAAAATTGTGATCTATGATGCACCATGCCGCTGAGGGTTTGTCAGATGACTCGAAATTATTAGCGTTTACAGCCCAATGAAATAGTGGACTTCAGTGCTCATTGTAAAACGCTGTAGTCATAAGCTTTTCATTTATTAGACATGTTTTCAGGAATGGAGTAGGGATAAATGCTTCTGAGGTTCATAAGTAACAATGGTTAAGCAGAGAATTCACCTTAATATAATTTTCAATCATCACTTATGTTATGGTGATGATGTGGTAGACTCTGAAGATTTTCCAACTATTCTACAGTCTGCAAAGGACATTTTGCGTCCAGTGTTGTACTGCTGAGGCAGGGGTTTTTTGGTGGTGTGATACAGACAATGTGTGTCAACGGAATGTTATTCTTTCATTTTCCCACAGTTCCATTCGGCATTATCAAGAGAATGCGATATATTTTTTTGATTATTCTGTTTGATGTTAGAAACAGAATACTATGTGTATTTGAACACTCGATTTCCCATCGTTTGATGTAAGCCTAATATAAACTGCAGATTAATAAACAGCGATTTAATTAATGAAAAGTCTACTTTAGCTTCCATGTCCTGCCTTCTGTTGTCACAGTTTGACTATTCGTGATTTAAATTTTGGCCTGATCTTTGTTTAATCCTGCTACTGCTCACGATTTCCACAGTGAGTATATTTCAGAAAATTCCTTTCAGTGATAAATCAGTAGAGTTTTCCCTAGTTCCTCTGATTTACATCTAAGCAGGTTTTGAACATGGGAACTTTCTCAGTGATAATAGTCACAACATTATTCTATAGAGAATAAATTCTTATTTTCAAGTTTTGGTTTGTATTAATCTGATTAAGCTCAAGTTATGCCACTGAGCAATATCATTTAGAGAACCGATAAATACAGGGGAGAACTGCACAGCTGTTTCATTTTAGTTGGGAACTCTCTAGTAACTTTAGTAACTAGCCCATCCAGGACCAAGTCGTCAAAAGTCTCGGCCTGTGATGTGAAGTTCCTAGATCTAATCCTCGACAAGGTGTTGAGTGAATACTTCAGGAGTTTCCTAAGCTGTAGCGCAACAGTCGTCCGGCACTCCCTGGTTTACAGTATTTCCCCGACTGGTGTCACGTTGTAATCGAAGTTTCAATAAAGTCTTTATTACTTACGATAAGCAAGTAAGAGTGGAAGATGACAGCCTCAAAGAAAAGGAAGTGTTGCAGCAGTTTTTCTAACGTATCAAGTGAAAAGGAGCACCAGACCCACTTCAGACGAAGGCGTTCAAAGTTTAGATTCATAAAATATCCAGAGAACAAGTGAAGTAGATCTGCTGCCTGAGATCAAAGATAGGTTTTTTACTCGGCAGACATGAATACTCCACTGAATTCATGTAGGCTGAAAAATCCTCACAAGCAATGCTAAGTGCAAGTAAGCACATGGGCTGATATACAGGATTACGGCCTACTCAGCGTCACAGAGAGAGGGACCGGCTAAAGATTTATCTGGTGTGACTTTGGGAAAAAACGAAGACAACATAGTTTTGAAGACGCGTGATCCAAACTGAGGACTAATTTTTGTGCTGTTGTATATTTCCCTGTTTGGTAACATAACATAGCGGCACATCAAATGCAAAGAGGACGCTGTATAAACTTAACTGGAATGTGGCAAGATATCAGAAATCGGAATATATGGTAATAGAACAGTTCGATAAGTAAGGTAGAGGATAGATTTAGCCCTTAACGGATATCTTAGGTAAAACTAAATCAGTGATCATGAAAAAACCACAGACGATTGACTTGAATAAGATACTATATGGATTCCTAAGGAAATTAGTGTTTCCCCCTTGGGCATAAGCCAATTTAACAATTTTTGCAGATTTGTCAAGAAGTTCTCTTAGAAGTTGCATAAATATGAGAATAAAGTATTATTTCAGGTATTCAGTGAGAATATGAAGCTTCAAATTGTTAGATGTTTTACAACCTATTTATGAAGGCGAGAAAATCATGCGGCGTCCAAATGGCCTATCCTCTCAAAATCCCGTATGCCATTCCTGGGTAGACAACTAAGTTCGTCGTTTTACTTCTATACATTCTCTCCCGTCTTACTCCTGAAAACTCTAACTACACTTATCATTATTATTACTGATATATATATACCAACTTCAAATTTAATCGGCTGTCCGCTTTACTTTTTCTTTATTTCTTTTTCTGTCTTTTAGTCTGAATAAATTCACTACTTATATCTATTATTACTGTTATTAATATTATCTATTTTCTTTTGACGACGATACCGGAGGACTAACTGGTGAAAGGATCAACTCCATTTTACAGTAGCAACAGTCTCAACACACTTCATACAACAAACCGTATATAATTAATCATAGCGCTACTCATTTTGGAGTCAAACAAAGCTACGACAGTCCAGTGGCAGGACGAGCTACGCAGAAGTTTACCAAAGTTCAGGAATTTTACCTCAATTAAGAGGCGTGCACAAAGAAATCAAATTGTTTTATACTGGCTCGTATAAACGACACTGGATATTGGAAGTCTTCATGAGCACAAGGAACTTTGAAAAGGGGGTGAATTTTACAAGCTCTTGTTTAGTTTTGGCTTTTGTTGTGTTATACGCTCCAAAAGTCTACAGATTAACTTTTAATCAGTTTCTTCTGATCAAAGTTAGTTTACTTTTCAGATCTGAGTCTATTTAAATTATAGGAAATTGTGTCTTATAACATAATAGTTGTATATATTTTTGTGCACTCATTGGCTTTTTATCACTGAATTATAAAGGTCTATGTGCATTTAAAGTTATATTTAAATTTCTTCCCCAGTTCTCTCTAGATCGTATGCCCACCAAAAAGAACTGCTGTGGAAGGGTTATGTGCCAGTTCCAAGTGGATGAGGGAATGCAGTGTGATAACTGCAAGAGATGGTTTCACAGTATGTACACAAACCTAAATCCTGCAGCATACAAACGCTGCTGCAGACCTCTAGCGAACTGGTTGTGCAACGACTGTTGTAGTACTATCAAATTCCGTATTGTAGAAGCCATTGCCACTCTCAGTGGGGCTTTACAGCTCATGGACTGCAAGCGTCCTCCACTACAGGAGAACGCCGACTATTGCTCAGACAACGATGACGCGACTAGCGTCATCGACAAAACAGCACATGTCCCCAATGCGTCTCTGTCAATAAGTGAGTGCCTTTCAGCACAGAAGAGCGCTCACCACATTCCAGACACCCAGGCTGCCCCCACGATACCGGATAAGCCCTCCAGTGACAGTAATGGAAAGACTGCCACAATAAAAGGGGGTCGAAAACCTACAACTCAAGTCGCCCAGGGACTAGTGGATCAAGACTCATCCACACCGGTGAGTAGCGGGCAGATAAATCCTACTACGATTAGCGAGGAGAACTTCAATGAATGGCGTAACGTAGTCTCCCGCAGAAAGCGAGGTAAGGATAACACATTGGCTACATCGCCCAAGAAGGACAGAAACACATTTACGCCGCAGAGCAAGAAAGCCACGGCAAGCAAACCTAATCTCTCTGAAAGGTCGCTCATTCTCCATAAAGCGGAAGAGTCACTGGCCCCCGATCCCAAGACTAGATATGAGCATGACCTTAACTTGATTAAGCCCCTTTTAGACAAGCTACTGCCACAAACAGCATCAGGCATTGCTATACATAGCGTATATAGAATAGGCCAAAAGCCTTACCCTACAGTAAGTCAGCCTGTACGTCTCCTCAAAGTCGTGCTAAACTCCAAAGAAGAGAGGGATGCTATTCTAAGCAACTCTCATATTCTTAAAGGATCAGGTATATATGTCCGCGCCGACTTCAGCCTCGCAGACCGTGTCAAAAGACAGTCTGCGGCCCTAGAATTAAGCGAACGACGCTGAAACAGCGAAAAGAACCTCAAGATTAAGGGTTTTCGGGTTGCCCAAGTTCGCAGTTCAATGATCCCGAAACCTCTGTGGGTAGGCACCAAACTGAATTTACAGTTTGCTACACAAACGCCCACAGCCTGTTAAATAAACGGACTGAGCTGGTTAACATGATAGACTCCGGAAACCCGGATGTAATTATTATCACAGAGACATGGCTCACACCCGATGTCACTGACAACGAAGTTAACCTGCCAAACTTCGAAGTGCATAGGGTGGACCGATTAAACCGCAAAGGAGGTGGCGTAGTCATCTACCTCAAGAAATGCTTAACCGGGCGTAGTATCGAAGCACTCGCTCACGAAAGTGAGTCGTGCGAACTTCTACGCTGCAGACTCAAATGCATAGGCCAAGACATTGACCTCCTTGCTATGTACCGCACTCCTGACTGCAGTGCAGATGACTTCCTGATAGAGAAGTTAGGCTCCTGGACCTCGAAATGTCGAAGTCTCGTAGTTGGCGACTTCAACGCCCCAACAGTTGACTGGACGAGCCTAACAACTCCATCCTCAGTCAACTCCTTTGATTATAAACTGCTGGAATCTAGTTTATCGTTAGCCCTAGTCCAACATATATTTAAGCCCACGCGCTATGACTCACAGCACTCCTCCTCAACTCTGGACCTAGTGTTCTCCCATGGTGAGGATGTGGATCTCATACAACATCTTCCTCCTTTAGGAAGAAGTGACCATGCTGTGCTCACTTTCAAGTTCACAGCAACGGCAGCAAGGGCCGAAACCCCATCTCGACCAAACGTTTGGAAAGCTGATATAAATGCAATCGTCTTAGCAGCCAACTCATTAAACTGGTACATCAACCCAGAGTCTTAAGCAGAAGCCGCATGGAACCAATTTAAACAACTTTACGCCCAAGTAACTGAACCTTTCATCCCTTGGTCTGTCCCAAAAGGTTGGAAACATTGCCCTCCTTGGATAAACCGAGAGATTCGTAAGTTACTCAGACGTAAACACAAATGTTGGAACTTGTTTGCCACTTTGGAGACTTCTGAGACCAGGCAATTATATAACACAGCTAGAAATAAAGCTATTGCAGAAATCTGCCAATCAAGGATGAAGTTCGAAGCACACCTGGCTCAAAATGCAAAGGCACAACCTAAAAAAATTTTCTCGTACATGAACTTGAGGAATAAAACATCCAATGGTGTCCCAAACCTGACTATTAAAAGTGATACATTCGAAAAAGATCAAGGAAAAGCAGAATCAATAGCAAGCTACTTCTCCTAAGTCTTCACATAGGAGTCGTCACTGCCTATAGGATCAGCCCTGGCTGCACCAGAAGAACATGGGATAGATTCCGTTGACATCGACCAAGGCATCGTGCTCAACTGCCTAAGGAAACTAAATGCAGGGAAATCAGTGGGTCCTGATAATCTTCACCCAAGGCTTCTCAAGGAGCTATCAGCCCACATAGCCGGCCCTTTGATTACGATCTTCAAGCTTTCTCTCCAAAATGGAGTGTTACCGCGTGACTGGAAAGACGCCATAGTAACCCTCATCCACAAAGGAAGATCAAGACAAAGCCCTTCAAATTACAGGCCTATCAGTCTCACCAGCACTTTAATTAAGACACTGGAAAGAATCATCAAGAAAAGCATAATGGCATATCTAGAAAATAGAGGCTTACTATCAAGAGCACAGCATGGCTTCCGAAGAAACCTCTCATGCCTGTCAAATCTTAACACTGCAAGAGAAAGCTGGGTCAAATCCAGGGACAACGGAACACCCGTTGACGTCGCCTTCATAGACTTCAGCAAAGCCTTCAATAAAGTACCCCACAAAAGACTACTCATGAAGTTGGAAAGTATCGGTATCAAAGGTAGCTTACTGAACTGGTTTAGGGAATTCCTCGTAGATAGGAGGCAGAGGGTTAGGATCAACTCGAAACTCTCCTCTTGGACAGCAGTGCGCAATGGAGTGTCACAAGGCATGGTACTCGGACCTCTCCTATTTATTTTGTATATCAATGAGTTATCTCTGCTCACCGACTCCCCTATGGTCCTATACGCAGATGACTTAAAAATTTGGAGAGAGCTGAAGGGCAACAGTGACACGCCCACGTTGCAAGAGGACCTCAACAAGATGTCGGAGTGGTCCATAGAATGGATGCTCTCGATAAATGTGGTAAAATGTGCTACCATGCGCATTGGACAAGCAAACACGAGCTCCTACGAACTAGAGGGAATTGCACTTCCATCAGTTCAGACTCACTTGGACTTAGGTGTCATCGTTAGCCACGACTTAAAATCTACAGCACACTGTCGCGCGGTGGCTGCACGTAGTTTCAGGTCATTATGGGCAATTTGTAAAGCCTTCACAAGAATCACCAGAGATATGTTCACCTCCTTATATCCATCTCTGGTGAGGTCAAGACTGGAAAACTGCACCCAGGCCGCCAGCCCTTGTCTAAAAGGGGACTCACACATTCTAGAAAAGGTGCAAAGGAAGGCAACACGTATGGTTCTTGGAATGACTAATTTATCATACGAGGAGAGACTAGACAGTTTAAATCTCTTCTCCTTGTCGTATCGTAGGCAGAGAGGAGATTTAATCACAATGTTTAAAATTTTAAATAATGGCTACGGACCTGACCTATTCTCTCTTTTCCTTCCCACCAGGTCGGAACACCTTAGAGGATATAGCAGGAGGGTTCAAAAGCCAAGAAAAAATCATATTGCTGTTGAGTACTGGTTCTCACACCGAGTCATAAACTCTTGGAACCGACTCCCAGAAGAAGTGATGTCTGCAACTTCAACTGATTCGTTCAAGAAGGGTTTGGACAACCACAGAAATTTACTAGAAAAGGATTAACATAGGCTCCAAGCCTTCTATCCTCAACCAATAAATCTGAAATCTGATACTCATTGTTGTGTCTTGGTAATCTTTTGACCTTGACAACGAAGCCGGCGTTTAAATAGATAGCGTGATACCTCAAGATAGTATCTCTTGAGGTATGAAGAGATAATCTCAATCAGCGTTGAAGTAACTCGAATACGTATATAAGACTTTTATTGTTGCACTTACCACATTTTTAGAAAGTACTTAGTCCATTTTGAAACATATACTAAAATTGGAACGATACAGAGATTAGCATGGCTCCTGCGCAAGGATGACACGCAAAATCGTGAAGCGTTCCATTTTGGAACACTTCTAATATTCGCGCTCACCCCCTTAGTTTTCTTGAAGTTTTGTAACTCAAGAGTCTTCGTTGATCAAAAAAGAGAATAAACCACCACTTTCACAAAGATCTACATGTGTTCTAGTCTCAAACTTGCCTGCAAACAAATAAGAGCCGAAGTATACCACATATAAGTGGTCCAATTAGGCCGTCTGCTGGAGTGTTATAGTATTCTAATTTATCCACATTTCAAATTGTGGTTCTGTACTCACATGAACAATTAATCCTGCTCTTGACTATTATGTCACCTGAGTACACACTTTTACTAATATGGTTGAGGATTATCAAATATAATATATTGCCTTTGTCATGATCATAAGTGAATGGATCTAATGGGATGAAGGCATGCATTTCATGACCTCATGCAAATTTTCAAGTGTTCCCATGTATTGATCCCCACGTGTGGATCAAAATGAAACGTGACACTAACTTGTCAAAATGGGTTTTGGTTATACCCTAACAAGTTATCATGTTTGCATTCGATAAGTCTCATATTGTTTCGCTTACAATAGTGTTGTCTTTTGTGTTTGTACTAAGCTATTGTTTTCCTTTGCTTTTATCCGAACGGAATGCTTATTAAACCATTAGCGATTTAACTGTGGGTTTAACACTTATATAGTTTTCAAATGCGTTGACATCTGATATAATTTCCCCTCTTTTCTATTTTAAAGGTCTCTCCGGGTCTTACTGACTGCCATTTAAGTAGTTTGCAATATCTGTTCGGGAACCTCATGCACCACGATCGCCGCCACCTCAGACCAGACTCAGAGGCTAGCATAGCTGATACGATTCGAGTAGTATCATGCAAGCAAAATAGAGATCTTCGAATTACATTTGCTAATGATTATGCGTGCTCAGACCGAAAGAAGTGGACTGGATGCAAAGCGGCATGTTCCACACCAGTCCCAGCGTCACGTGAGGCGAATAGCCACCGAATGTATCACCAGTCAGGCAATGCTGTACACAGGTAGGGTATCTCTTTTTAGTTTTATTATGATTTGTTCAGTTCAAAGGAAAAATTTGGTTCGCTAACAGATTAGCTTTTTGCTGGTTATCTAATCCTTTAATTTTTCTGAGCCCATATTTGCTTAAAAAGAGGTGATCAAACAGTCTGCTCTTGACATATTATTTATTGGTTAGACTAATTTAAAACCACTCGACAGTAATTGGTGAATATTAGTTAAATAAAAGTAATCTAGATTTCAGTTGACCGTTTCACTTGCTTGAGAATGAGCTCAGTGATATACTTGGATCCATTCAAATAGATTAATTTTCAGACCAGCTGAAAATTACCAAGTCATCTTGACAAAGACACTTTCCTGAAGATTCAGCTAGTGATAAGAATCTACAGTAGTTTTTCTGTTCGATCATAGCTTGTATTCTCATCACTATTTAATGCTAGACTTACATGTTAGTATTTGCTCCATCTTATTCCAGGGGTGACCGTCTTATCAGAAATCACGTAAATGATGGATTTTTAATTTCGTCTGATTCTCATACTCCAGCCAACTGTGCTTCTGCTAATAGGTATTTGCCAGTGACCCAATCAGGTGAGTGGTCTTTCGGTATACTTTCAGTCACTGAATCATACTATGGGTTTGTATTGTCCATTCAATGCTAATTTTTTCTTCCCGCATATCGCTAGTTGCGGGAACTTAGTTTCTTCATGACATTAGCTATTTTTCAACTGTTACGGATTTGAAACATGTCCTGCTCTTATTAGCAGGGACTTGGCTTATCGGCTTAAGGTCTCAACTTTCAGCTAGTGAGTTTGCATACTAACCTATCTATTTCATTCTGAACAATTATGGTTCATTTCCAAACGCACGAATAGTTTTTTTCGTGGTAACGCATTTCATGGATCTAACAAACCTTACTTCAACCGTTGCAGCCATGTACTAACGTGCGGGAGATGTGCTCCATAGATTTTAAAGTAAGAACACAATTATCTCGATAGTCCTTGCAGCAGACTTATAAATTAATTTTACTTTACTGTGAGCTTCAGTAGGTTTTCATAGTAATTATTTTAGCACTATGTAGACACGTACAAAGTCATAACAACATCGGATCCCTTTAGTCCGATTTGAAGCAAAGTTTGTGAATGCAGTTCAAAAGGGTTTGGTTATCACTAACTAAAATTAAGAGAATTGACCTGGTAAATTTTATATTTGCAGTCACAGTATAATAGTATTTCGATATACCCAGACAAAATTAACAAATCGACTGTCATTAAAGCGTTTTAGCTCATGTCTGCACATTCAACAGAATATAACGAAAGACAATAAAATGATAAAATACGTTCACAATTTGCAGATAAATAAGACAAATGACAAACAATATATCTTATCAAGACATTAGAAAAGCATAAATATATTTACACCTTTGCGGTCGATTCTGACCCTTTCCATGTAGAGTCCATGACTATGGGTTTTAGTAATCATGTGGGTCATAGATGGGTATACTTTTCTCCCCACAGATAGGATGTATTCGTGTACCAACCCCCCTCACTCGTCCAACTTAGTTTTACTTCTACTGAGTGGTCATGCATGTGTAGCACATCCAAGTGGTAATAGTTATGTATGCTCTATCGACCAACTTACTCAATATACCTGGGACTCTATGTCAAACTTCTACATTTCTCATGGAAAAGTTACATCCGAGGCTATAGATATTATGAAAGATGTGTTCTGGTTAAGTATGTGACTATTCCGCAGGTTATCTTACTCCATTGGTTGTGTTTGGCAGGCCTATAGTCGGCTAGGTCACATCGTACATTCTGCACCTTCATCATTTGCCAAATTTTCTTTCTGTTCCAATCAAAATAGCACAGTTATGGTGGTTTGTAATAGGTATCAGTACACACTGATTTATTTTGTCCTGTATAATAAATTTCTCTTGCCTTTTGCCTATTTTTCACGATACGTGTTTAATATCATTACTGGACAGGATGTTTGGAAAGTAGATATCCGTAACCATAGTTGTTTTTAGAATAAAGCGTATACATGCTCAAGTCCATTGATGTTCATAAAGGATATCTAGTCTTTAAATGTGGCTTGTGGATGTGTTCATTTTTTAATTGGTTCACACATAGATTGACTACCACTGACTGACTGACTGATTGGTTTCAACATAGAACTTTGCATCGGCCTGCAGCAGTTCGATTCGCCACACTTCACTCAGCACACATCTAGTGAAGAAAGCAAAAAGAAACACAAAATAGAGACAGCGAACAGAAGCATAAGGCAAAAAGAATAGTAATATCGAGGTGGCACAGCGGCTATGACTCTCGCCGATCATGCACATGGTCCGCGGTTCGATCCCCTGCCGATGCACACCTGATATCTACGGCCGGTCTGCAAAATTTGGGCTACCGATATCACATGCTAAAAATTCCATACTTGTGCCATACTCGGTGGTATAATAAAGTAAGTAATGTTGACGTTAGACGTAGATTATTGGGCAAAGAGGGAAATCAATCGAAGAGGCTATAAAATTACATAGATTGAGATGGCTAGGTCACATGCTGCGCATGCCTAGCCATCGCCTCCCACGACGGGCATTACTAGCTGATATAGGTGCAGGTTGGAAAAGAGTAAGTGATGGCCAAACAAAAACATGGCATCAATTCATGAAATCCCTGACAGTTAAACTGAGTCAGGTAGGGAGATGCAGACTTCCGGGTTGGGGCCCTCGGGACTCTAAGAATCAATGGCTGCAGACAATAGGTGACATGGCTCAAAATCGTTGTCAATGGCTTACGCAGATGTATTCAGTCTCTTTAACCTTCATATTCCTTTCCACCATTACTCGTTCTGTTTCACTCTTATACTTGTCAAAACTCTATTGATTCTCTTCACTCATTTTCTTGTCTACCTTTGTGTGCTATTTGGAACGTGGCAACTCGAACTGCTGCACTTCGGTGCCAAGTTCTATGTTGTGCCAAAAAAATATGGTGTGGAATAAGCTGTAATCAAAAATAAAAAAAACAAACAGTATAGTTTCATCGGGTATTATAAGTCACAAGGAGTGGATGCATTCGCGCCATTGAGAACGATTTCGAGCCATATCACCAATTGTCTCCAGCCATTGGTGTTTACCATGTTGACGACCCCAACCAGAAAGTCTACATCTTCCTACGTGGCTGGCTTAATCTAACCGTTGTGGATTTCATTGAGTGATGAAGCCATGTTTTGGTTTGACCACACCACTAGCTCTTTCCCAACCTGATCAATCTTATTTCAGCTAACATTCCCCATTGTCGAGGATGGTGATGGCTAGGCGTGCATACTCTACACATGCCTGAACTATCTCAATCGGTGCAACTTCACAACATCGTCGATTGATTTCCCCTCCTTACCTACCACTCGACGGAAGCCTAATCTCAATATTGCTCACCCTACTATACCACTTAACATGTAGGATAGAACACAGGCACTTATGGTGAAAAACAACTAGTCTTTTCACTGATATAAGTATAAATTTGGGCACTGTGGTAGAGCATAACTCCATTATGGATAAGATTTTATTTTGATAAATCACACAGTGTTGTACATTAATATTAACTGATGACGTTTCGAGCACAAACCATTGTTCATAATCATATCAACTTGATATGATTAGCCATTCAGTTGGAAATTCCAGAGTTATGTATACGAAAGAAGATCATCCAACCACTTCTACTATCATGGTAACAACCGTGTTGACTTCTACTGACCTGATGATTGTGTGATTGTTTTTTTCTAACTCCTTATAACATTTGTAGTCATTTGAACTCTTACGTAATTCCTAATTTCTCTTTATTTCTACTTACATCCTGACCACAATTCACTCATTAAACTATTTGTCTTGTTACGTAACTGTATTACGCTTATTCAACTGATTTTATGTGTTGATTAACATTAATAACAACACATCACCACTACCGTCCTACCAATCTTCACTCACCCCTAGTCACAGTTTGATTACTCATCACATTTTTGAAATCTCTTTACAACAATAACCCTAACTTATTTTTATTCTTATCGGACAAACTTAATGTACACACACACATACAAAAATAATAATAATATTATTTTCTGTAGTTTGGTTTGTAAGGATTAGTCATGTTTTACGAGTTGATCACGGACTGAATGGTATACGAGCTTGCCTTGTAACCGGAAGGTCCTGGGTTCGAATCCCAGTGGGTGCGTACTGCCGATGATTCCCAAACTAGGATGAAACAGCAGCTGTCCAGTAATCCCTGGTTTTCAATGGTTCTCTAACTGATATCAGTCCGTGATCAACTCGTAAAAAATAATATTATTATTAGTATCTCCATTAAATTCACTCAATGTGTTGCTTAATGTGTACAACTGTTAAGTAGGTGAATCTATTCTTAACTTTTAGCAATAGTTGTAAATCTTGTGGGTCAATGAATCAATTCCTAATGCACTCCTTGAAGTCTTTACAAATTTACTCATGACTTTTCACACTTGCAAAATTAACATTTTTGCTTCATTAGTATTATTGATCACTGAAAGCATAGGCATCCGTTCACACGAATGTACTGTACACTCTCATTGTTAGCTGTATAAAAAGTGATGATTATGTATGCATATTATTACAACGTATTTTTTGAAATTCTTTGCTCAATCCAAAATACCATTTCATATATGAAGTATGTCCTCTACATGACCTTGAAACAAATCAATAGGTGCATTCGATTTAGAGTCTAATGTAAACTAGTTTCACATTTTTTCAGCGTGAACTAGTATGATTGATCAGTGTTTTACATAATCGGTGTATTTGGTTCACATGTACTTAAATTGTCTGAATGATTGGAATCGATTCTTTCGAAAAATTGGTGTAGATACATTACTACATACATTAATATCATGTATATTTTGTAAATTAACACTCGACATGAAATATATCAAAGTTTGCGGTGGTGTTGAATTACCGTAGATAATGTCGAGCTAAAAATGAAATTAAGCTCAACAGTCTCAGAACATCAACATAAAAATCTTATAGTTTATTTTTGTATAAAGTAAGAACAACAGTTTTTGCAGAATAAAATGGTACCACCATTTACTTCGTTGACTTCTCATCAGCTGCTTTCAGGCCAAAGTCATTATTAAGTATATCTACAGAAACAATTTTAGCATACTTGCACAGAGTTGACTTTTAAATAAAATATAGAAAATATCCCCATTTAGACATTTGGAAAACACAAAAGATTGAGCGAAGAAATATTTACTTTTCAATTAGATCCTCTTCTCTGGCTCTGCTCTAATATATATAGCATTTTTACAATACACAACAATTTACCAAACAAGTGGTGATATGTTTGTGTATTGTAAAAATGCTATATATATTAGAGTAGAGCCAGAGAAGAGGATCTAATTGAAAAGTAAATATTTCTTCGCTCAATCTTTTGTGTTTTAAATAAAAATCAATCATTGGTATAAAACTTGGGCACTGTGATAGAGTATAACTCCATTATGGATAAGATTTATTTTTCATAAATCACACAGTGTTATACAGTAATGTTAGCTGATGACGTTTCGAGCACAAACTATTGCTCATAATCAATCAATCAATGTATGCATACAGTAATAATATATATATATATATATATGTATATATAATATTAAACACTATTCCGAACAGTGATGATCATACACAATGGAAACTTTCGACATTACGTAATCAGATGGAGATGAAGATGGTAGTCATCAGAAGTCAATTTATCGAAAGCCTACTTGGAAAGGACATTACCTACATTTTAATAGTGCTAGTCCAAATAGCTTTAAGCAAGCACTAGTCAAGACTCTATACTATACAGCTAGGAGGATATGCTCTATAAAGAAATTAGAGGAAGAATTTATGTTTCGCGAAAAGATGTTAAAAAGCGACGGTTACCCTCAAAGATTCATTAACAAATATGGAAGATGTGAAGGCTCAAATTTTAAACAAATCACAGTGGAGAAAAAGCCCATCTACATTCAACTTGATTATAAAGGGGAAAATATTACAGCAATTGTCAACAGAAGATTGCGTACTTCACTAGCCAGAGCCTATCCTGCAGCTAAGCTTGTGCTCGTCTATCGAACAACTTGCTCTTTGGTGCAGTGAAAAATTGACAGATGTCCTTCTCATGTTAACTCCAGTTGTATATGCAAATTTACATGTATCCACGGCAGCAATTACATAGAAAGAACAGAAAGAAGGGCATACCCCTGATTTTCTGAACATGTACCAAAAATCCTGTGTCTAAAGGGAACAAATGTTTAAAACAGTGCCATCGCCAGGCATCTTGACACGGGTCGTGAGGTGGACGTCGCATGAACGTTCAAAATTATCAGTAGGCAAAAGAATTCAATTCTCCTCGTGTTTGCAGGAGCCATCTCCATCAAGCGCCTGAAACCCGATTTATGAGTTCCGAAAGAAGCAGTTATCAGTCTTTCCTTGCCCTGGTGACTGGATATTTTCATCCTCTCTTTTATCTGATTACGTAATGCCGAAAGTTTCCATTGTGTATGATCACTATGTTTGGGATAAAGTTCTGATTATTATTATGATACATATTATTATTGTATGCAAATACTGATTGATTTTTGTTTAAAAATAAACTCTTTGCAAGTATGCTAAAATTATTTCTGTAGATATACTTAATAATGACTTTGACCTGAATGCAGCTGATGAGAAGCCAACGAAATAAATGATGGCACCACTTTTTTCTGCAAAACCTGTTATTCTTGTTTTATTCAAATTCATTAAGTGGAATAAATGTATGAAGTTTATTTGGTGTAAATAAAGTGATATTCGAAATGTGAAAATTACCTGAAATCATTGTCATTTGTGGATTTCCAAAGCTTCGTGCTCCTGAGCAGAAAGAGAAACCTTATATGCACTCTTTCCTTGAGGGTTCGGAATGTATGCAGTAAGGAAGAACTGCGTAATCTCCTAGGTACCTTGATGGAAAACGGTTTTCCACCTAGGTTCATAGACAAGAATCTAAAATCAAAGAAGACTTCTGAACAAGTCCAATCCTTCCTGAAAAAGTTGCTTCTGCCTAATCTAAAATTCAAAGGTGATTCTGAAGCAGAAACCCTCTTGAAACGCCTTTCTTAATCTCTGAGGAAAACATACTTCTCTGCTGGCCTACGATTGACTTTTTCCTGCAAGAAACCGTTCAGCCATGGATGAGTATTGATGAACAGCCTCAAATATGGACGAAACGGCTGTTCAGTACTCCCAGGTTTTCAGTGGTTTTCTAAATGAAGCCTGCTCCTTGTCATATTTATTCCTTCACATCTGATGAATTGACTAGTAAAAATTAATTTGTTAGTTATCGTAACTGTTATAATCTTGAATATTCTTTATTCCATTTTATTGAAGTGATACTAAGTTCTTTTTCCCCTCAGCGTCCTTGTGACAGTTTTCAGTTTTATGTAGTATATAACTGATATGCACTGTTTATCATGACCTAAAATAATGCTCTTTTTTAATTAAGAAACTAATCATCACAATAATCGCCATCCTATGCACGCCTCACACACTACAGCTGCACAACAAGAGCAATACAAACGCGATTTGATGACTCAGTACGAAATCAAACGTGCTCTGTTTTTGGCCAATCCACCACCGTCAGTTCTGGCTAGTCGTAATCGAGAGAAGAAACAAAATGACAATCGCCGGTTGGATACAAAGAGTCATCCCATGAAACAAACACCACTTAATGGATCACGTGTAGATCGTTCAGTGATTGGTCGCATGAATTTAGATCATCAGCGCATGGAAAATTCATTTCGTGGAGCGTCGTCAAGGTCTGCCAGAGAAATTGGGTTACATGGTTTGGATTTTGGTGAGCTTATTACATTACTACCAGTATTAACTATTTCGGTTATATTAATAAGTTTCCTCTTGTTAATTACATGATAAACTACATTATGTTTGTCTTCTATGGTAATTGTGACGTTTAGGCAAGATTAGTATCGTCATATAAATTGAATTTGACAACTTCAGGAAAATGATTCGACGTAATGAGACAACTGTTTTCAGGTTTTTTACAGGGTGCTTTCAATATGTACTAACCTTTGTTTGAGTTAAACGTAGTTCCTTTTCTGTGGAAAAGTTAATCGACGGTTACGCTAAATGTCGTAAATAAGGAGAATTTAGAATCTAAAATCTATTGTTTCCCGACGGACATGAGTCATTTAAGTTGCAAGCATGATGTTTATCGGACCAATGCAGTATGTGTGTATGGCACAGTTAACTATGTCCTGCTTTATAGCTATGAGGCATGGTTTTGGAAAGTGGGGGATATGAAAAATTAGCCTTTTACGACATCACCACCCTAACTCAATCTCATGTGTTTAATGGTGCAATGTGGCGAGTAGTGATAAGCTTTGGCATAAAATGATATATAAGGGGGGGAGGGAGGAGGAAGACAAACTTCCTGTGCTCATATATTCTGATTGAACTGGATCGATCATTTTTGTCTATATGTTTGATGTCAAAGAAATTTGATAGCCTAAGCTGTATAGTGTCGTGTTTTGTTGGTTCATTTATTCGAATAAGTTTGTTTCTAAGCATTCTGAAGAGTTACTGTAACTAGAATATTGTTGAAACTCGTTTGTACGCTCCTATCTGGCCCTTCTTTGTATAAAATTTTCTGGAATTTCCTTAAGGTCTACCCCTTAATATCATCATTGTTATGTTTAGGGACTATAGTGTCGCCATTTTCCATATATATATATATATATATATATATATATATATATATATAATGAGCTCTTTTCTATCTTACATCCTCTTAAATCATAATTATTCCTGTACATATTACGATTCACAGAATGTGATATTGGAGGTCGATTTTCAAATAATTCTCGTGGAAATGTGCGTCCATCACGTGGTCATTTTCAGAATAATTTTCATCGTGGACGTGGTTCAAAACCGTATTGGTGTCATGATGATAGATTTGGGAAGTTTGAAAATGGTGGAGGATTCCGTGGACAAAACTCGTTTCGCAACGGTAATGATTTTTATTATTTCTTTTGTGATAAAATGAGTTTCTTGCTATGTCATTTAAAAAGGTTTGAAAGAAAGGTTTTTATGAACTTGTTATTAATGTGGGTAGTGTTGAGTTAGAGAATGTTCTTCAAGCTCACATTATTTGAGGGAATGACTTCAATAGCTCTCATTATCATTATCAACATAAGCTGGAAATTAGGCTGATTCCCTACATTCGATGGGTTTTGTAAAATGAATGGAGATAGAATGATTGCTGCAAGAATTGATAAACCATGAAGTCGATGTTTGTTATATACGTCGTGTATGTTGATATTATCAGCTGATCTTCATGAGTCACAACTGTATAAATTAATTTGATTTGTGTTAGATGGTTGAAGGCGATTGGCGAAAAGTCCTGGACCTAGGTTTTATGCTTGGTGGCATACGTTAGCAAGGTGCATCTGCAACCTTGAAGGAATTGATGTCATGCATAGGACTCAAAGGTAAACATAATGCATTGGTTAAGTGAAAATGTTTCTGATTACATCACAGGGTTCAAATAGAACTATGTGCTCTGAATCATCTTGTCCATGCTATTAAACTAACTATAGTTTCTTAATTTAATAATAACAGGAATATGAATATTCTGTAAACAAATAAAGTCTGTGTGAATACAATAAGTGAATGGAAGATGTTTTACAATTTACAAAGATATGAATGCTGGTATGACAGATAATCAACTAATATCAAAACGATGAGAAAGGAAGGACAACTTAAAGTTGCATATGCACAATATCGTTGAAAAAAGACTTTACTCAAACAATGGAATTCACTGCTTTCACGTTTTTGTCAAAGGGGAAATAAACTGCTAGCTGCTACTACACAGAACTGCCACCGAATTAACGTCAGCAACGTTTGTGAGATCGCCTCACTTGGTTTCTGCACATCAAGTAGGTATTTCGATTTGAAAATGGCGTTCTCTTCCTCAACATCGGACAATCGACATTTTCAAGAAATTCTGTGCATTCATTTTGTACACTGAATACAACGAGCCACATTACTTTGTGATTTTCAGATCTTTTATTCCTATTTGACTTCTTAAGTGTGTTTATATATAATGAGTGAATAAGAGGCGAGTATAAGCATGCATATATATATATATATATATATATATATATATATATATAAAGGCCCACTATTTAGCCAGGGAAAACACGTTTTATATACATCAAGCTATTACGTACAGTTAATAATTGAATCTTTATATTGAATACAGGGATAATGTGACTGCGTATACTGGTTCATCTACCATTGTACTCTTCTTATAAAACTTCTATGATCAGAAAGTTTATTCCAGTCTTGGTTTGCGGGGATTTGATTGGTTGCAGGATTTTGTCACGAACTGACATCGGTTAGAGAACCATTAGAAAATCTGAGAGTACTGGGCAGCTAATTTGGGACTCTTCAGTAGCACGCACCCACCGGGGTTCGAACCCAGGACCTTCCGGCTACAAGGCGAGCTCGTAAACCATTAAGCCACTGGGACCCGACACAACGGCTTTATTATTAGTTTATGGTTTAAAGTGTATAGTGATATTCTCTTGATCGATTTTAGGTATAAGATTGTATCACATTGATTTAACCACTTGACTACGGGCTTGACCGTTACTCATCTACTAAGATATGAGTAGATAGACTAGTGGGTCACGGATTCACACCCTCATCACCTACTCAGTTCTGGGCAGTTATGTAGAATCACTAGCCCCCGCACAGTACGTATGACTTGCTGTCAGCTGCATGGAATTCCATTTTGTTGGTGAGTAACATTTCTCAGTTAAGTCCCTTAGTCAACCAAACTATACTGTGCATCTGCTGAATCACATTATTACTGTAGTTATGATATTCACTGATAGTACTATAACTATCGACCAAAGGGCGTGTGTACTGCTCAACAGTCCGTTCCGTCCTCCTTTATGGCTGTGAGACCTGGTCATTGAGAGCAGAAGACATGAAAAGATTAGCTGTCTTCGATCATAGATGTCTGCGTTCCATCTTCCGCGTGAAGTGGTATAGTAAGGTGAACAATATTGAGGTTAGGTGCCGAGTACTAGGTAAGGCGGGGAAATCAATCGATGAGACTGTGAAATTACATCGACTGAGATGGTTGGGACATGTGTTACGTATGCCTAGTCATCGCCTTCCTCGACGGGCAATGTTAGCTGATATAGGTTCAGGCTGGAAAAGAGCTAGCGGCGGTCAAACCAAAACTTGGCACCAGTCAATGAAATCCACAACAGTTAGTCACGTAGGGAGATGTAGACTTCCTGGTTGGGGTCCTCGAGACGGTAAAAACCAATGGTTGGAAACAATTGGTGACATGCCTCAAAATCGTTCTCAATGGCGCAGATGCATCCACTCCTTGTGACTTATGATTTCCGATGAAACTGTTCGTTCTTCGTTATTACTACTCCTTTGTCTCACACCTCTGTTTACTGTCTACATTATGCATTTCTCCTACTTTCTTCTCTTCCTTTGTGTGCTACATGGAGTGTGGCGACTTGAACTGCCGCACATCAGCGCAAAGTTCTATGTCGAAAACAGACAGACAGATAGACAGTACTATAACATTAGGTGAAGGTAGAGGGTAATTACTTTTCATAGCTGTTTTTCTGGCATGCGCAAGGACTGTTCTATTAAAACATGGTACAGACACACGAACATGAATAATATTGCTTGGCTATAATGATTTTCTTGCAATATACCAAATCGATTAGTGAATTGCAATATCATTTAGTAAATAATGTGACTTTTTCGAATACTGTGACATGAAGAACTGTGTCTACAAGAGAATAATTAACTTCTGTTTTTCTGTTCTTTTAAATTGGCCTAAGCAAAAAACCTATCGGATTTATTAACAAGGTAAGAGAAACAGACTGTATTAAATGTTAGTGCAATTTAAGCTGAGTCATCGGTTACTTTTTTTTTCTGTATACTGCCGACTAACATCGATTTGTGTTGTTAATTGGCAAGCACTGCATGAAAAAATGGATGGATTTTCACATAAGCTATCTACTAATCTGCGCACAGAAGGTTAGCTAGATGTCTTATCAGTTCTCGAATACTGATGTGACATTTGAGCAAGTATCTATTTTATCAACCTGAGAGCTTAACTTGCGACTGGTGAACTGTGGGTTTTAGATGCAGTGTACATTCAATATAGACCAAGAGAATACTCCCTGGACCGGTAGTTGCTTTAGTTGAGCTCGTAACGATCCTTGCTGACTAGGATTTTCCTGCAGGTTGCAACCTCCCGTAAAGGTCGGTTGAATAGCAGTCAGACTAAAATCATTTACAGTTATAGGTTAATTAATCTCTGGTGTTCATTTGTCGCGTTACTTACTGACTACTGACAGTGAGTTGTGGGGCATTTCGTCCAGGTAACAGGTAAGTCAATTAAGTTGTCTTATTGATTTAGATAAGGGGTGTTGGAAGTGGTCGGTTCAAAAATTGTACATTGCAACTTACTACCATATAGTCGTCTGTGACAGGAAGCAAGGTTATCTCTACGCATTAAGCTCCAAAAATCCACTTCCTAATTGGTCATGAGTGACGGAACTAAAACCTTTTTTCTTCGGTCATTAAGGCTGTGCATCACGAAACCTTTTTTCTCCTTTTTGTACTTGAGGAGAAAATAAACTTCCATTATGTACACAACCAAGAGGTAGCATCAGCCAACACACTTTCTTGAGCTCACAAAATCCTGTCTATCGCCCACCCTCTTTATCTTCTTGACTTCTTGCCACTGCTAATACCATTACATAGTTTCTGTACGATATTAACTTCATATTGCATCTTTCGATATCCAAATCGTAGATAAGATTCATTGTAAAGTCTAACTAGGTGAAACACTGACTTCTAGGACTACAGATGCATATCATCTCTAAGATATGCATAGATGACTTTGCTATAAGTTATCGTTTGATTGGATGGGCGGAAGATTGCCGTTACTTTGGGAACGGATATATGCATTCTGCTGGCATCTTCCGTCTGCAAAAAAGGAAGAGAAACCCTCTTGCTTTATATACCCAGCTTTTGGACATCAACGTGAGATCTATGTTTAGTGAGAAGAACAATGAACACTTATTCATTTCTGTGTGACAACTATGCGCATCCTAAAAAAGTCTCTTACCCTATCCAGTCTTCTGTAATAACAGCATTGTAGAAAACTGATAGTCTGCAATCAATTGTAGGTAGAAACCAGTGGTATTGACTAGAGGTATCTGAAAACTGTTTGCAACAGGCTCCGAGAATAAAAAGGAATCAAAGCTTTTCGACGTTAGTCTAGCTAGAATTCTTTGGAAGGACCGTGAACAACAGTGGTGACTAAGACTTGAGAAATGTAAAGGGGAATAGATAAAAACCTTTAACCATCTTGTCCTGCCAAGGAAAACGTTGAAAAAAGGTCACGGCTAGTGAGACGATCCTCAGCAAGCTTGTCTCTCCCTATAACTCATCGAAGGAGATTACTGGAACACTGTAAAGTACCTTTATTCCGGCAGTTTAAGTGATCTATGGCAGTTAAGCATCAACCTAAACCCTGAATAGAATGTAAACATATATCCCCTAATGGTAAGCGAAATGTTGGTATTAGATGGTTGGAGGCAATCGGCAAGAAGCCTTGGACCTAGGTTTCATGCTACTTGGCACTCGTCAGCAAGGCGTATCGGTCACCTTAAAGGAACCCATGCCCCTTCTGAGATTCGAACCCGCGTCACCCAGTGCTGCAGTCAGAGATGTTACCACTGAGCTATTCTCGTTCGCGATTGACCTTTTGTAAGACTGCATTGGATACTTTGATTGGACACTAGTTATTAACTAGTGTAATGTGTCTAGCCCTTTGTTTGGTGCAGACTGCATTCTATCAGTCAGGTTTGCGACGTGGCCACCATTCTAAATAGCTCACCCTCAGGGCAAGAAGCTTTGAACCTAGTTTTCGTGCTAGTTGACACTGATTGACGCGGG